GGGAAAGCACTGTGTGTACAAATTGATCGTTTCTGGTGATAATGAATGCCCTCTGGATTTCAAGTTGGTTGGTTGTTTTTTTTCTCCCAAGAACTTGGATTCCACTCAAGCTATTTGGCAAAATCTCTTTTTCTCATTTGGAAGGTAAGATTTATGGAAGTGGCTGCAGACCCTCTCTACTTAAATCTAGAGAAAGAATGTTACCTTCTGAAGGACTTCAAGAATTTCAAGGTTTATAATCAGCCCCTTATTTTGAAGAATCCTTTTTTATACAAAAGGTCACAGGTAAATATTGCTGGAAAAAGAAATTAAATGGCAAACAGCACATCTTGGAGGAGTGTCATATGATCTGTCTTGATAAATTTATACAAAAAACAGTCTCTATTGCTTCCTAGATTTACAATCTCTTAGATGAAATGCAGAAACCCTTTTTTTAGGAAAGCATTGGTTTTGCTTTTTCGGAATTGTAATGTGTCAAGTAGGAGGGCCACTAAGAATGCTGAGCAGGTTTTGTAGGAGTGCCAAAATAGGGAAAAGAGAAAGGCAGAGGAGGCAAAGTTTGAACAGAGTCCCTCACCCTTGAAAATATTATTTGAGCAATCGCATGAGGACTGTTCTGCCAGGGATGGATGGTGTTAGTTCCCTGGGCCTCACAACGCTGGTCTGTGAGTAGGGACTCACAGAATAGCCCTAACTATTTTTTGATACTTACGACACCCAAGAGACTTTCTACAACATTTTCAGAGGCTGTTCATCGTGATCAGCCCTGTAAATTGTGAACGCTGTCCTTTATTGTTAAGTGTACATGTCCACTACGGTATACTAAAATGCCAATTAAAGCAATGAATTGATTTACAGCTTAGAAGCCTTTGCAGAAGAATTAATTTCTTGTAGGTGCTTTCAAAGCATTCAAAGAGGAGAATAAATCAGGCAGATCGATCCCAGCATGAAGGACCAGATGGAGCTAAGGTTAACACAGAATCTGGTCCAGCCAAGCCATCGAGTCCTGTTGCAGAAATATTCAGAGTTATTCAGGGGGCGATGAGTGAAGAGTACGTGAAAACTACTCAGGGTGTCTTTCAGTTTGAACTGTCTGGTAAGACCATCACTCATAAAACCTTCCCATACTCACGCTCCTAGCAAGAGGCACTGGGTATTTTCAAACAGAAACACTCGCCTTTTCGACCTGATGCCAAAACAGAGCTGTTCTGTTGTTCTGTTCTGTGTGATGCTCCTTCTCAGGACCAACTTCAGCACGGGCAGGAAGCTGCTGCCACTGCTGGCGTATGTGCACAGGTGTTGTCACCATGCTGGCCCTACAGCACAGCAAGAAAACTTGGACCTCTGTTTTTTAATTAAATGTATTTACACTACATTACTTGACCCAGGGTGAGTGTGCATCCTGCAGGCAGTGTCATGAGCATGTGCACAGGTAATCTCGCTGCCTTCCCCTCAAAGTCCTTAGGATAAGTAGGGTGGTGGCTGTGCCATGGGAAGGGGACTGTGGGACCTGGTGATGATGAGTATTTGGGATATTTCACCCTTGTATTATGGACATTTGTATTATGCCATTCCTGGAGTTTCTGCTGTAAACAGACGTGGCTAAAAAACATGCCAGTCTGCTGTGTGTTGTTAGGACGAGACCTAGAATGGGTGCTTTAATGGAGGGATTACTGTGGGTATTTGCATTCCGCAGAGGATTTTTACAGGAGGGCAGAAATGTGTTGCTCTTTAATCTATTGCTCACTTCACAGCTCTTGAGGCCCATAAAAACGAAGTGACGAGTCAAACTGTGACTGTTCTGTTACTGTGGATAACTGGAGACAAAGCTGCAAGTTCTTTGGGTGACCGCTCCCATTAGTAAATGAAGAAAACATCTTCTAAGACCTGTGCAAAACACAGACCCTCTGAGCAGGACTGGTGGCTCATCATACTGCAAAGGAAATTTAAGCCTGTGCCTCATGTCCCCAAGGGCTCTATTCCTATGTCTTCTCTCGCACATCTTCGTACAGTTTCAGCTCCTCCGCTTGCGTGTCTTTTTCCCCATTTTGAGCCCATCTGGGAAGGAGCCGGCTGCCGGCAGAGGGAGCAGCCCGCACACGGGAGCGCGGCGGCTCCGGCGGTGTCCCCGCTGGAGCCCGGGGACAGCTGCGCCCCGCAGCCCCCGCGCACCCCAAAATGCGGCTGTGCTGCCAGGCTTGCAGCTGGCTTGCTAAAGGGCAAGGCGTGCTAACGTGCATCAATACCATCTGCTACTCTTAGTAGGGTTCCAAAGGGATAAGCAAGTTTGCGGCCATAGCAAAATCTGTATCTGTGCTGCGCAGCCTCTCATCTCCCTTTCCTCACCTCTGGTACAAAGTCCCTGCTCCAGAGCAGAAGTGAGGGTGTACTTCTCGGTGACAGAGCACTGCCACTCGTCTGTCTTACTTGTCCCACCAAAATAAACAGTGAGAGTGTAATGCTTTTTTTCTTTCTTTCTTTCTTTTTTCCTTTTTTTTTTTTCTTTTCTGTCAGGGAGAGACTTGGAAGACTGTTAGCCTGAACGCTTACAACTTTGAAAAAAAAGCACTGAATCTGATTGTAACAGATTGTTGCTTAATCTTAGTTCTGTGTAGCATTCTATCCTAGAATAAGATGTTGCTTTATACAGCAAAGTTAAGCAATAACTTACTAAATATAACTCAAGCAATAATACATAGAGTCAGTATTTTTTACTGGGGTATAGCTGTTCCTCTGTGGCTCTGCTTCC